CCATGGGATATTTCGCTAACACACATAGTTTACTAATACTGAAAGGTAAATTTGAAAACAAAGACACRGAATAATTTGTCAGCTCTGTTAGGGATCACTCTCAGCTACTACCAGACCAGGTTTAAGCTCAGTTTCTATAAGAAACTCACTGTGTTGGCTGTTACCACAACATTACCACCCGCCTTCACCGTGCAGACAGGACTCACCTGCCGCACACCGACAGCAGCTCCTGTCTCCGTGTCGGTAGAGGCCGTCAGGACACACCTGTCTTCTGKTCAGGTGTCTGAGTGAAACCTGAACTTCGTCTTCAGCCGAATCCGACGAGGAGCTGCAGACAGGAAAGCGAAAGCGAAAGCTTGTCGTTTCGTGTTTGTGTAACGTCGCCAACAAACGAACAATAAACCCATATTAACCGAGTATTTGACGCATCTTGTCGTCTACGTTCAACTCTTTAGCTGTTGTGTCGAACTCTGTCTCGGGGTCGTTGCTTCACCACAAAACCACACCTTATATTTTAGCAACTTAACTTAAACCCAGTTTATCTCATAACAAAAAAAAAATCTCTGACTTTTGGCCTACATTTTGACTCGTTGTCGCTAATTATGTACATTGAGAATAAATCAAAGCAATATCGTCTCTTAAAGCGTCACTTTACGAAGCCTAAGTAGCGCAGAAACTGATGGTCTGTAAATATAAGGTTGTACTTACATTACCGCGTTTGAAAGTAAAATAGTTAAATAGATAAACCACACGCAGAACTTCGTCGAACTTGTCATCTTGTCGTCCACACATACTTTTACTGTCAAGGGAGTTTCCGGTCTGGGAATTTTTTTTTTTATTATTATTATTTTTTTCGTTTCCTTCTTCACGCCTCCTTAAGRAGGAAGACCAAGTAGGGGACTCTGTGGACGAGTGGGCGTGTCACAAGGAAAGGCGATTCTAAAGTGACACACCTGATTTGACGGACTTTGTTAAAGTGACACACCTGACTGGACAAGCAAAAAAAAGGGGCGTTACCGTACGGCATCACCTCATTGGACAAGAACAAAATGGGCGCTACTGTACGGCACCACTTTTTCTCGAGACCCCTAATTGGGTCACATTTCTCCTGGTTAACCTTAGTGTTGGGGTCAGGGTCAGGCTGTAAAGAGATCAAGCAGGATCTAAGGGTACCGTCATGGAGGCCTCGTAGCCCACAGTGCTTATGCTTTAGACACGCCCACTCTTGTGACACGCCCATTTTGATTGAGCAGACAAGCACTTCTCAACACAACACACGTCCTGTGTGTGTCACTAAAGAGAAGTCAAGACTAGTTTATGATTATGAATAGATTTTAAAAGCTATGATCTCAAATTTACGATTTAGCATTTCATGGCTTAGCATTTAAAAAAGATGACTCTGCATCTCATACATGGACATCCCATACTTATAATTAGATCTAATTAGTTTTTTTTTTTACTAAGTTTTCATTTTGAGATGCTGAGTCATAATTATGAGCAAATAATAATTTTGAGACAGTGTCTCTTTTGTAATATTTCTCAAGGGAAATTATTAATAAATTAATAACAGTTTACCTGAACAGGTCAGGAATGTTAATTTTGTTCTATGGAATCAGTGTTATTTGGAAAGTCCCTCAAAAACCATTTCTCATAAAAGCTGAAACCTTTCTTGGAATTTTGTCAGAATTTATATCCATATAGGTCAAAAGCTATCTTAATAATCTAGTAAAGTGTTAGTCAAAAAGTTAAGATAATCCATTTTAATTTGAGAATTGAGACATGCTTGCTTCCACACACACATATACAGTATATATGTATGAAACAGACCATGAATACAATATAATACAACAAACGTAGATGCTGCACTTAGTTGTTACCACTAGATGGCGGTGTTGCTCCTTTGGTTTTGTTGCTGTTGGGAAAAGACTCAGAAATTATATTAAAAAAAAATCAAAAAAGTATTTTTTAAAAATCAATGTTCACAGTTTAAATAGGTTCACAACTCCCACATTTTTGTTAAATATGACCCAAGTTTATATTACTGTATGACTCCATATTACATTAAACAGAAATATAACATCAAGATGGAAACAATGACAACGTGCCACACATAATTTCTTCAGTTGTGAATCCCTTTTCTTTTTTTTTTTTTTTTTTTTTTTTTTTTTTTT